ATAAAGTTCAAGATGCATTCTTGAAGCCTTGAAAAGTGGTGCAAATCCTTCAGTTCAAGCAATATACAGTGTTGTGCAAAATGTAATTGCCCCAATCCTGATTTCTTTTGTTTTGTATTTCATACAAAAATAGTTTAAAAACTTTGCACGAAATGCAAGATAAAACAGGAATCCTGAGTAAACAAATAATACAGGTTTTATTGATTTATTTTGTCATTAATTTTGAAGCAAAAAAGTTATCCAACATCTGTCACCCATGTGAAAAACTATTTGCTGTATTAAACTTAAAATCTGGTTGTGCCACCTTTAGCAGCAATAATTGCAACCAAACGCTTCCAATAACTGGAGATCAGTCTTTACAGCACTGTGGTGGAATTTTGGCTCATTCTTCTTTGCAGAACTGCAAAGGTTCAAGTCAGGACTTTGACTACGCCACTCCATAAGAGCCATTCAAAGGTGGACTTGCTCCTATGCGTTGGATCATTGCCTAGCGGCACAATCCAGTTTATGCTTAGAGACTGAAGACCGGACATTCTCCTTTTTGATGACGGAGGTTGTTGCAGTGAGTGGTATTTATCACACATTAAATGGAGGTAATAAACAATGAAACACAATGAGGGAGGTGAATAGAACACAATCACATCAACGGTAAAGAAGCACAAACACGGTGAGTTTAGGGTGAGTATATATCCAGTCCAGGATTGGGGTTGTGATGAATATTAGGTGATGGGGATCAGTATTTTGATGAATAAGAGGACACAGAGGGTGCAGAACCAGGCGGAGGTTGCCCATCCTAATGGTGCAGTGGTTACTAACGGTGTTTGGTTCCTGTCTGCTGTGCTGCTGAGTGGTTTGCGACTGTAGCTCCATGTAGATTTGTTTTTCTGTTGGAAATCTTACTATCACTCTTTGTTATTTAAACTGATAAAATATAACTTAATATAATCACCATATTTAGGATATTATCTAAGAAACTAATTTGACATTGTTCGCTTTTTAATTTAAACGGCTAGCACAGCGCATTATCATTCCATTAGCCTGTTAGCTTGTCATTCACGTCTACCGTTTCTTTTCTCTTTCTCGCTCCGCTTTTCACGAGTTCATCAAACAACTGTGGTAAGTCAGAATCATTCAACAATCACAGTGAGTAATGGCTTTTTTATCATGTTATTGTCACTTGCACTGCTTGCCACATGTTTAGTGTAGCTTTCTCTGTCAGCGGCGAGGGATTCAGATATGATAAATGCAGGGAAATAGTTAGACTGAGAGAGAAGATTTCAGAACTAGAGACGCGCATCCAAACGTTAATTGAGGATAGTAAGAATGTGAGGGCCTTAGATACGGCTTTG